GATTCCACTTTCAATTTTCCTTTCTTCTCCTATTCTTCATCCAAATGGGCGGCCAAAAGATAGCAATCAAAGCCGGTGCACGAATATGCGTGGTTAATGGTTGTATAAACTGAAAACTGAAACAAAACCATTTATTATAGAATAATAAGATCCAATAAACTTGTATCACTGATTCACAAGACTCTCATAGTGAACTCTATATCATAACCAAATTATAAAAAATAGCTTACTTGAACTTTTGCTGCGTTTAGCTCGGCCGATTGGTCTTGCGTTATGACGACAGGTGAATACGCGTCAAACAAGGTCTCATTAGCGGTTGAGCACAAGGGAATATTGTCGCACAGTATGATTGACCAATGTGTCGATTTCTTAATCGCGTTTGTCCGAGACCGATTACTTACTGGACCAATACAGAAGGGTTTAGAAGCAAGACCCAGCGGATTGCGACAGACGGCAGAGGAACTGGCCTCTGTGTCTAGACTCCGGGGGAATGTGTGGATGCTCAGAGCAGAAAGACCGGGCCAAGTGTTACTCAGTACACTGGCATCGGAGAGTTGACCGAATTGGCTGTAGAACGCTGCCCATGGTAGGCAGTCAGGAGTTGTCGCTGAGCCCCGATAGTTCATACCACTTCCCACCAGACAGTTAACTGTAAGAGTAAAAATAAATGTATCGTGTTTTGAGTCTAATAGTTGAGAAATCTGAACCAATACTTGATAGATATCTTATACATTCTAGGTAACGCTCAATCATTTTCCTAACGCTTTCAATCACAACGACACAACAATCAGGTAACCAATCGATGCACCAAACAAAAAAATACAAACCAAACCAATAAATGCTGAATAAATGATAGTGAAACGAGATTAGTATTGAACCCAGAGACTCTTAATCCCGGTTAATACACACGTATACCTCGTTTAAAAACTCTCTTCTTCTATCCCCGACCCCCTTTCTGATTCGTAATTGTTTCTATCACATTCGAAAACCATGTAACTGCGCTATCGTGGTTTTGACCTTTTGCGTCCCTCGGCAAGCCATAATTTTCACATAATGGCCGGCTGCACTTGCTTTTAGCTTTGCCTATGAAGACTACAGTGAGTTCCATTGAGTGCGACATTCACGAGTCAATTTTGTGTTGTTCTGTGTCCGTAGTATGATGGTCTTGATCTTTGGTAATCTAAACTTGCTACGAACAGTAGCGACTCCGTTCAAGACAAATCCGTTGTTTCAGGAGTATCCAATGTGGCGTATGCATAGTTTTGAATGATTGATCTTAGTTTATCTCTGTGTGCGTATAGTAAACGGGTGAGAAATCGAAACGCGACGACCGAGGTTGATCCACTGATGCATTCATGAGAGTTAAACCAGACAGGGCTGTATTTTTATACATCATTATCATATTTCGGAAATCAGAGCTAGTATGTCGTCCAAATGTCATGTTCCAAAAAACGATATTAGGGATGATTGTCTGATGGTCAGTATTTTCGACTGGCTACGAAGGCGATTGTTTTGTTTATTTTATTCATTAAAAAGTTCCCACAAAATTTTGCATGAATTCCAACTAGACCACCGAAGTTAAGTTTATAGGGACAAAAAACAATTATAGAAGTGGAGAAAAAAGTATGGGTGACAGTTGTGACATTTTCATGGTACCTGATAAACCTTTATTAATTTGATAAATGTTAGAAAGCAAACGAGTCCGGAAATGCGAATATTATTAAGCGGTTATGTCTTGGTTCTGTTTGTCAAGGTGGTACAGATATTATTTAATGGTTGCTCGTTATCATCACCACGATCATTATGCGGATGGATGATCGACACAAAGGCCATTGTGAACAATTGGCGTTGAGCAGAAACATGAGCAGGTTTAAACGCGTTTCAAAATGAACAAGATCGATCAATCGTCGCAGTTTGGTAAAAACGGGCGAAATC